AGATGTTATCAAAGCCTTTATGTATGGGGATTTAAAATCTTTCTGTGTCAAATAGCACTTTAAAATCGTGACTATTATACTTTCAGCCTGCCCTCTTTTACCTCCTGTCTTTGCTGCTTGCAAGACATAATATTGTCACGAACAATTGCTCTACCTTGCCTCTGTGTCCTGGTCTGTAGAGTGGGAATAATGACAACAAGACTTGCTTCATAAGATTGTTATGGGCACGGGATCTGAGCACCTCAAATTCTTTGGCACTGCCAGACACATGGGAACTACGTGTGTGTGTGTGTGTGTGTGTGTGTGTGTGTGTATTACACATATCTTTGCTATTATTATTAATGTTATGCTTTATTTAATCAGTGACAGCATCTCTATTAGACCAGTAGCCTTTATTCTGCAACTCAGTTCACTGTGGTTGAAGTTTTCCTGTCTGAAGATTTTATAGCTCTGGTTCTTGTATCTTTACCTCACTCCCTCATGAGTTTAATAATTCTAGTCTGTGAGAAAGGTACATTCCCAATGTAATCATTCTCTGTTACTCAGCAATTTGTGACATATATCAGGTCAGGATAGTGGTGATGCTTTATAGAAGTATGTATGATTAGCCGGGCGCTGGTGGCTCACGCCTGTAATCCTCGCTACTCAGGAGGCTGAGATCTGAGGATCGCGGTTCAAAGCCAGTCCGGGCAGGAGAGACCATGAGACTCCTATCTCCAATAAACCACCAGAAAACCGGAAGTGGCGCTGTAGCTCAAGTGGTAGAGTGCTTGCCTTGAGCTGAAGAACTGAGGGACAGCGCCCAGGCCCAGAGTTCAAGCCCCACGACTGACCAAAAAAAAAAAAAAAAGAAGTATGTATGATTATAATACTTAAAATTTTTCTTAAACCATTACTTAGGGAGAAATTCTAACTGAATCAGTCCTTCTGTTTGGGGGGTATTGATTATGCCAGGGTTACCTTTTAATTGAAGTACAGAAATTCTTTGCTTCAACCTTGCTACTTTCATGAAGAATGATTGCTAATAACTAAATTACTAGAAAAACAATCTGGAGGTAGAGCCCTGTCACTAAATAATCTGCTTTACATCATTTCTCTTTAAGCTTAAAGATTAAATATAGCACAAGAAACTCTGTGTATGTGTGTATGTATGTACACATGTATGTACACACATGTCCTATTACCAGGGCTGGAACTCTTGGCAACACCCATTTGGCCCTTCGCTTTTTTGCTCAGTGGTAGGCTAGTGTTCTACCACTTAAGTCACAGCTCTACCTCCTGCTTTTTGCTGATTGATTGGAGCCTCATAGACCTTCCAGGCCAGGCTGGCTTTGAACTTTGAGCTTCCTGAGTAGCAACGATTGTAGCTGTGAGCCACCTGTGTCCAGCTCACAAATAATTTTTGAAGTTTTAAGATTCTTTTTACTGGACTTGCTAAATTGATTGTCTTTCTTTGTAGTACTTCACACCTCAACGGAAATTTCTAAAATATTTAGTATATTTCCCTTCGTTTGTGTAGTTCACAGAACATCAGAGTAAATTCATTGTGACAGCCATCTCCCACCCCTCCCGAAATCCAGGACAATTGATTCGTGAGTAAGTCTTTGTAAGGCCACAGCCTCCATGTCTGTCCTCATCTCCTTTGCCTAGAGAGGGTATCCAAGGCCTTTCTCCTCAGGAATACTGAAAGCCTAGAATGTTCTCTCCTCAAGTCCGTAGTGGCTGGTTCTTGAACTTCAGTGAGGCCTCCGTTCCGATGTCTGTACATCAGAGTTCTGTAATCCTTTTCTTCTCTGGGCCACTCCATTGCGCTGTCCCTTACTCTGCCTTAGATTTTTCTGGAAAATTTAGCCCTAGCTGATGGACAGGAGGGGTGGGGAGAGGATGCCCATATCCTTTTATTTCTCTCTTTTTCTGGCAGTACTAAGATTTGAATTCACGGTCTCACACTTGCTAGGCAGATCCTCAACCAGTTGAACCATGCTCCTGGTAGCCCTTTTTGCTTTCATTGATTTTTTTTTCCTTTTAAAGAAGGTCTCACATTTGTGCCCGGTCCTGGCTGGTCCTTGCTCCTCCAAGCTAGCTAAGGTGGCAGGCACACACCTATGGCCAGTTTGTTTTTTTTTTTTCTTCACCCACACCATGGTTTTAACCTAAGGTCTTGACTTGCTCACCTGGTACTCCACCATTTAAGCCATGCTTGCAGCCTAACATTTTCGTAGTTGATTTTTTTTTTAATTTAATTTTATTTTATTTGTGAACATACTGTACAGAGGGGTTACAATTACATGGGCAGGATAATGCGTACATTTCTTACCAAGCATTGCAGCCTCCTCCTTTGTTTACCCTTCACCTCCCTTCCCAGCCTCCCCCCTCCCCCCCCAATCCCAATCCTTCTCCTCCCCCCCCCCCCCCCCCCCCACCGACGTTGTAAAGCTCGTTTTGGACATGACAACTTGTTCGTAGTTGATTTAGAGATGGATTCTCATAGACTTTTCTGCGTAGCTGGCTTTGAACCTGGCCGCTCTCAATCTCGTTTCCTGGGTGGCTAGGATTTACTGTTTGGCTAGCAACCAGCATCCAGCATTGCCAGTTCTTTACAGTGTGAGACGTGTCTCTGAGCTTTTTGCTTAGGGTGGTCTGTAACCATGAACTTCTTGATCTTCACTTCCCTGGTACTGAAGGTCACAGGAGTGAGCCGCCATGCCTACCTTACATTCTTACCTCTTTCTCTCACCTGCTCTTTGTATCCAAAAAGGGTTCTCTTTTGTTGGCCTTGATGAATCCACTAATACATGCTAGCAACCGCAGAAATGTTCGACTTTGCTTATGATCACAGGAACTATCTTCTGTAAAACCAGAGTCACCACTTAGTGTTGTGCTCTGTTCTTGTACAATGAATGGCTTCGTTGAAGGCAAGCAGGAGCAGGCTGCGGCCCGCACACTGGGTTGGCACTTTCCTTCTTGCTTTGTTGTTACTGTTTCTTCAATAATAATAAAAATGAGCTCTTACTTTTTTTTTTTTTTTTTTGGTGCCAGTCCTGGGCACTGTCCCTAAACTTCTTTTTGCTCAAGGCTGGTACTCTTAACACTTGAGCCAAAGCTCCACTTCTGGCTTTCTTTGGTAGTTTAGTGGAGAGAGTAGTCTCACAAGCTTTCCTGTGTGGGCTGGCTTCGAACTTTGATTCTCAAATCTCAGCCTCCTGAGTAGTTAGGATTACAGGCGTGAGCCACTGGCGGCCTGCCAAGCTCTTCCAGGTTGAAGGCTTTAGGTGGACGTGGTAAAGGTCATTTGTGTGTGGATGGACATCATTCAAAGTATCAGAGCTTTCCTAGCCCATCCAGTTACAAGGAAAGGCTGGAAAGGGTTAATACAGCATCGGAGCCTCATAATTTACAGCCAGGGTGGGCCAGAGCGCTCTCAGAGAATTTGACACAATGAGTTAAAGCAGCTTGGCTTTCATTTCCCTCCAGCTCAACTTGGAAACATAAATAAATCCTTGGTCTGTAATAGTTAAATGGAAGTATTTGAATGCCTCCTAGTGGTATGTTTTGTGCTCTAATTAAGGTATTACATTTTTTATTGAAAAAATTCTGTGATGAGCTAATAAAGGTTATAAACACAAGGTACCAAGCCCCGTTAATGATGGGGAATCTTCAATGAAATCAAGAAGTTGTATTATTTGCCATGTAAAATCGATCTAAAAAATCTGACTGAGAAAAATATATCTGACAAATGTGGGTACATTTTCAATGAAAATTCTTGTTTTTGTTCCAGATCAGATCATTTTAATTGTTTTTTTATTTAATAGAACTGTTTTATACTTACACATAGACATGTGAATGTTGCTGTTAATAGACTTGAATTGCTTCCTTTATATTTATTATTTCAGATTAATTGTGTTTATCATGTGATGCTTAATTTCTTTGTGTAATAATAAAATAGGAATGTTAATTTATAGAAAGTCTCTGGTTCATGTTCAGATAGGTTTTGCAGTTCGGACTTTGAAGCTGACTAAAATTTGTAATCTTGAAATAAAGGCTAATTGCAAGACTTTCTAAACCCATGAAAAAAGATGCTGCTTTAATGACTGAAAATTGACTTTACATAGGAAGGAGTAGAATTTGCCAAGGAAATAAAGTCACTTGGGGAAGAATGCTGACGAAGATCTTCAGGAGGGGAATTAAAAAAAAAAAAGAGTAATGGCCCTTTGTGAAGTATTAAATACGTTTAATTAAATGCTTGCCCAAATCGGAACAATTAAAATGGCAATTACCTTTAAAGTAGCAGCCACAGTAATTGCAGCTGTTGTGATCTCGAGCTAGGAAACGAAATGTTAATCTGGAATGAGCGGTTTCGAGATGCAATGAGGACATACTTGGCTTCCTGGAGGATGCTGTCAAGCTTGGGTGGCGCACCGGTCAATGGTGGCATTCTCTGTGTCAGTGAGCAGTGTCTCCGGATACCGGAACCCGCGGTTCACACATTACTACAGCTTCAACTGTCGACCGTTCAAGTCCCCTGGTATTATCCCGGCTTCCAGACTCTCCTGACTGGCTCATGTTTCATTCTTTGGCAATTTGCCCTAATGATATCCCCGAGGAGCGCTCTCGCCGCTCTTCCTTTCCATATTTAATCGCGGTGGATTAGTCTGAGGGAATGCCTGAACCCCGCTGCACAAATTGAAAAAAACGCCTCCCACTGTATTTTCTGAGATGCTCACCTCATTTCTTTTTTAAAGCTAAGCTTGCGCCGATGTTCTCAGCTTCCGCCCCAACCTGTGTTTCCACGGGGTCCTCGCTGCCCCTGCGCCCCAGGAGGCAGCTTGCTGCTCTGCGTGGACTTTTTCTGGGGGACTACGGAGGCGTGCTCGGGCGTGGTGGAGACAGCCCGAGCGACAGGCGTGCCCGGGGTGATCGTCGCTGCGCGTAGCTCCCCGAGCCCCCCTTTCCTTGTGGAGGGTCCCAGCTCCTCATTGTGGTCTTCTTACAAATTTCAGTTAACCGCCTGTGTGCACGGATCAGCCGCTCTGCTCTACCCCATGTACTGGCAGCACATATATATTCCTGTCCTCCCTTCTCACCTGCTGGACTACTGCTGGTAAGCTGGCTTCCCTGGGCTCCTCCAAGTAGAAACCCTCACTCACCTACAGAGTTCAGGAACCATCATTAGATCGGAGCAATCACAAGTGTGACTTGTAGGTGAGGAATTCAAGTATTCGAGAGTATCTCCTGCAGGTCAAAGTAGCGCGTCCCCAAGGTGGCAGACGACATCAAGTTGTTTACGGTGTGTGTGTGGGTTTCTTTCAGTCACCTTTTAGAAAGGCAGGTGCTGAGGTAGAGAATGATGGTTGTTGCTGGTGATCGTGGCACGGTGCAGACGCTGTGGCATCACTTGGAGATTCAGTGTCCTAGGCTGGCTGGTCAGTTTGTCTGCCCCAGCCGCCAGCCACCAGGCCATTGCCATCTCTTCCCTCCGCACGCGCTTCCTCCCCTTCATTTCTGGAGTTGCTTTGAACTGGAGCTCGAACTGGAGCATTCTTGAGTTCCTGGCTTGAGACTAAGTTTCAGCCTAAACATTCATTCCGGTATATACAGACATTAGAATGATGACCCATGTCCTCACCCCCTCCCTCGGAGGGCCTTCATGTGAATACCAAGAGGCCAGACATCCATTAGACTCAGAAACTGCAGCTCTGGGGTTGAGGTTCCAGTGTTATCTTGGTCATGGAATCATCTCTCACTGGTACGGCTTAATTCAGAACTTAGATGAGGCTTCCCCCTCGAAACCATGCCGGGTGTACATGCACACACACAAGGAAATCATTCTGGCATTGTAAGTGTTTGTTTATAACACAGCTAATATTAGTTTAAAAAAACCCACAATGTTCTTTTAGAATTAATGTCTTGGATTAACTTTTTTTGTTGTCGTTTCATGGAAAACAGATTAAAGTTATTTACAGACTCCAGTGATTTAAGTTCACGTGCTGAGGTTTTCTGTGAAGTTTTGTGACTCAGTCTTTAGAGCAAGCGGTTGCATTGACCACGTGTTGATGATGCGAAGTGCCCAGTTCCTCCACCGCGGCGGCGGCGGCGTGAGTGGCATGTGGGGAACTTGATGCCCAATGACCAGCTACCGCCGCTCCACCCGCAGGGAGCTCGGGAGGCAGCACAGTTTGGCAGACTAGCGGAATGCAATTTAATTATCTTGTGAAGTGTAACACACACGGTCCAAGTGTAAAGCTAGATCTATAAATAGGCTCTTTTGTGATGCATTTTAGAGAGTTTTTCCTTGGACCACCATACCTGCAGTATTTTACCACTTTTCAAGGCAGGGACTGAGTTTATTCGTTTTGACACCTGTAATAGGTCTTTGTGCATGGTGTTTAGTCATTAGAATATTTTTAAGAAAGGTCTATAAAGAGTCTTTGAAAACACACTGTTGTGTAACTTTAATAGGTAGTTTTTATGTCAAATTTAGTATGCAATTTTAATTTCGATTTAGTGGTTCAACAACCAATGCTTCTAATTATGAGGGCTAGGATGATAATTTAACATATTGTACGGTTTTTCTTTTCTTTTTTTTTTTTTTTTGGTGCTGGACCTGGGCCTTGAACTTGACTTGGGCATTGTCCTTAAGCTTTTGTGCTCAAGGCTAGTACTCCACCATTCTTTGGTAGTTAACGGGAGATGAGTCTCACAGACTTCCTGCCCAGGCTGATTTTGAACAGTGATCCTCAGGTCTCAGCCTCTTAAGTAGCTAGGATTACAGGTGTGAGCCACCAGCACTAGCCTATTATATTGATAACTTATATTGTCAGTGCCCTCTTGGTTTTTTTACTAACATGGTCTGACTTCCTTTTTTTTTTTTTTTCTTTTTTCTTTTTTTTGGAGCCTGTCGTGGGGCCTGAACTCTGGGACTGGGCGCTGTCCCTCAGCTCTTCAGCTCAAGGCTAGCGCTCTATCACTTGAGCCACAGGGCCACTTCCGGCTTTTTTCTTTTTGCTTATGTGGTGCTGAGGAATCGAACTCAGGGCCTCAGGCATGCAAGGCAAGCACTCTACCACTGAGCCACCTTCCCAGCCCATGGTCTGACTTCTTAAGAGGAAACACACCTGTAAGCTCAATTCTCTGTACTCTTAAATTGGACATCTAAGATTTTCTAAGCTATTCTTTAGAGCTTCTTAGATGACATACACAGTCCTGTACCCACTCTGAGCTGTTTCTCTGGTTTGTTTGATATCTGCCACGGGGGCTTTCTTCTGCTGCTGCTTCCACTGCAATGAGAAGTGCGCGTTCCGCGTTTGAGCCCCAGAACATCTCCGTTTCTAATGTCCAAAGTATCCCTGAGCACAGGTCCTGCCACACTCCTCCCTGGAAAGAGAAGGGAGCCGTGGTACCAGATAAGTACTCTGGAACTTTCTGAGCTTGCAGGTCACAGCACTAGGCTCAGCTGCAACCAGAGGAACTTGGCAGAATAATCTAAGTGTTCCCTTGGAGATGGTGAACCAAGACTCTTGTTCTCCTCCATTGTCCGAAGGTGTGATGAACGAAACAACTTTGTAGGGAAAATGATCCTGTTCCCTTTATGTCCAGAGGTTAGAACCAGACTGGTGTGTATGGCCAGAGGGGAAAAGTATCACAGATGGTCCTTCAGTGCCATGACTAGATCATTACTTTAGACTCAGGTTCAAATGAACACTGGGAAGTTTTGAGGAGTAGATGTATCTTTGCAGGGAATGTGTGCTTTCCAGATCCTGAGGTTAATTATTGCTGCACAAAGGGTTTTTGGTTTTGGACTGACACAGTGTAGACTGTGGAGAGGTGTGATGTCATCTTGTGACCACCGGTGAATATGGCGCTGTGGTCTGTTGACAACATTTAACCACAGCGTTGCTTGTGCATTCATTCATTCATTCATAAAACACTTAATGAATACTGCTTGGTGAGCTGTGGCTATGTAACAAAGTGAAGACCTAAATTTTTTCTAGAAATTTTCACAGGAAGAAACACATGCACATACATGCCGATGTATAGACACACACACACACACACACACACACACACACACACACACACACACACAGAGTGTAGATGAATGCTGAAGTGTAGTACTTCTGTAGCAGACGTACAAGAAAACCAGGGTAGGCACCTTTGTGGAGTTGGGGAGAAGCTGTTCCTTATTTTATCAACCTTGATAACAGTACTTGAAGCTTCTAGATAGAAGCTGCTGAGTCCATAAACATAGAGGAGCACGTGGGATCCTAGGCCAGACGATGATACATAGATGATCAGTTATTCAGGGAATAGTTAAGTCTGCCTCTAAGTGCTCTCTATGAAGTGGTCAGATTTGGCTTCTAAGAAAATAGTTTGAAAAATGAATGGAAAGCCAAGTTTTTCAGACAAATTTGATAGATTGCCTTGATCGTATTATGTATGGAAAAGAAAAAAAGGTGATTTTTTTTTTTTTTTTTTTGTCGGTCGTGGGGCTTGAACTCTGGGCCTGAAAGCTGTCCCTCAGCTCTTCAGCTCAAGGCGAACAGTCTACCACTTGAGCCACAGCTCCACTTCTGGTTTTCTGGTGGTTAATTAGAGATAAGAGCCTCACAGACTTTCCTGCCCAGGCTGGCTTTGAACTGCAATCCTTAGATCTCAGCCTCCTGAGTAGCTAGGATGACAGGTGTGAGCTGCTGGCACCAGGCAAAGAGGTGATTTTTACGTAAGGATTAATTGCTAGCCAGTAGAGGAACTAGTTCTAACAACTGGTCTGTGCCTTGTCTTCTCAGATTCGCTTTGCCGACAGTTTTGCACATGGTGAGGCCAGAGATCTTGTCCCTGAGCAGCTAGGCTGAAGTTCAGCTGGGCTGAAAAATTACTTTTCATGAAACAAGAATGTACACAACCCAGTGTGAAACCGTGAGAAATACCTATTCAAGTAACTCTGCATTCGGCAGAACATCATAATTATGTTAGAAATTCTGCAACATATGAATAACAAACATGAGTGAGATCTTTAGTTCAAACATCTGAGTATCTTAGATTCTTCTAGAAACTGGTGAGAAAAAGAAACTTTGGAGTTACCTTGCTGTCCCGTAAAAATGTTCAAGGGACTTTCATATTAAAGTCTGCGTGGAATGTTCTGTTGAAGCTTTGATTTTAGCTTAATAATTTATATAAACATGCTGATTGTATCTCAGATGCTATCTTTTATAATTTTCTTTTTTCCTTTTCCCTTTTTCCTCCCTCCCTCCTTCCCTCTCTCTTTCCCCTTCCTTTCCTCCCTCCCTCCCTCCCTCCCTCCCTCCCTCCCTTTCCTTCCTTCCTCCCTCCCTCCCTTTCCTTCCTTCTTTCCTTCCTCCCTTTCCTCCTCCTAATAAGATAGTCTCCCTATGTTGTTTAATCTGTTCTCAAACTCAAGATCCTCGTTTCTCCTCTTACTGAGTGCTATATAGTACCATATAGTACTTCGCAAGAACATCTTAGAAAGAAAAGGTTAATTCTAAGTAAAAGTCACTACCAAAAAAAGAAAGAAGAGGAAGCACTTATAACCGAGCCTTCTGAATCTCAGCTTTTCAAAATCACGTCACTAATGGAATAATCAGGGCAGTCATAGTCCTAGCTTGTCTCTCCTACTGTGACAGTGTCAGATTTAGGTTCGATGACAAGATACATATACATCTACATGTATGCATATGTAATATGCGTTTACATGTGTGTACCTGTAGCACAGTATACATATACACACATATATTTTAATTTGATGATGTTGGTTGTTGGACCTGGGGCTTGAGCATAGGACTGTTCAGTCTTGCTCAGCTTTTCCCTTCATGGCTGGTGACCTACCACTTGAGCCACACCTCCAGTCTCAAGCTTTTGCTTGAGAAGGAAAGAGTCTCACAGGCTGGCTTTGACTTTTGATCCTCAGCTCTCAGCCTTCTGAACTGCTAGGATGGTCTACGGCCATACCACCCTGAACGCGCCCGATCTCTTCTGAACTGCTTGGATTGCAGAGCTGAGCTACCAGTGTCCATCTGAGAGAAGAGTTTTTACCTGACGGCTTCTATACATCTTTGAAAGTGTTTTTCAGGAGTGTTTTTTAGTGTATTCTAGAAGATTTTGGTATTTTGATAACTTTTTTTCCCCCTCCAGTCCTTGGGCTTGCTATGCTAGGCAGGTGTGCATGCCTCTGAGCCAGGCCTCTCGCCTGAATTTTGGAGAGAGGCCCTTGCTTCCTGCTCAGGCCCAGGCCCTGGTGAGATTCACCTCTTAGGCTTCCCGGTAGTCATGACCACCATGCACACTGCCCAGCCCGGCTCTCCATGGAGAAGGGCTCTCGTGATGTTTTTCCTGCCTGGCCTCGAACTCTGGTCACAACCATCTCAACCTCTCAAATAACCAGGTGGCTGGCTTGTTGGCTGGTTTGTTCTGGTGCTATGGTTTGAACCAGGGCTTTGCACTTGCTAGGGAGGTGTTCCACCACTTCAGCCAGACCTATTAGACCTTTTTTTTTTGGCCAGTCTTGGGGCTTGAACTCAGGGCCTGGGCACTGTCCTCAAGCTTCTTTTGCTCAAGGCTAGCAATCTACCACTTGAGCCATAGCACTACTTCTGGCTTTTTCTGTGTATGTGCTAACTGAGAAATTGAACCCAGAGCTTCATGCATGCTAGGCAAGCACTCTACCACTGAGCCACCTTCCCAGCCCTGGGCCATTTTGTTTGTTAGTTTTTTAGCAGGGCCTCCCATCTTCTGTCCGTACGGGCTTGGACTGCACTCTTCCTATTTATTCCCCCTTGTGGCTGAGATGACAGGAATACAACACCGTGCCCAGTCATTGGTTCAGATGGGATTTTCTTTTCCCTTCTTCTGGCTTTGGAACTGTGATCCTCCTAAATTCTGCATCCAGAATAGCCTGAATGACAGGTGGGATCCACCACACTGGAAGTTGATTAACACTCTTCCCTTACTACAATGTGCTTTGGGGCTGCAGAGCCCCAGGGGCTTTGAGTATTACGAATGTGCTGACAGGAACGCATCCTAAGCGGTGGAGGACTGCACGTCTTCACAGGACCCTATTTCAGGAATTTGGTGGGAGTTGTCTAGCTTGTCGTGTGTAAGTTGCCCGGCACCATCCTGGGCTCCAGACAGTGTTTTAAGGGCTCTGGGGGTGGGAGCTTAGGAGCTTGAACCAGGGACATGGATGCTCTTTGCTATTGAAGTCAAAGGGGAGCAGTTCATGTCGTCCAACTATTGGCAGAAGATCTGATACGGTTTTGAGGATATCCTTGCCTTTAAATAGTTCTCAACTTTGGAGTCCAGTGAAGAATCCAGAGTGTCGGATCAGTTACAGATGGACTGTCACATGGGAATTAGGAAAGAATGGGAAAGAACAGTGACAAAAGGCAAGGAGGCAGCTGGGCGTTAGGATCAAGCACAGCACGAGTACTGCTCTAGAAGCTGCAGGCGAAGGAGGAGCAGAAGGAGAACTTCACCATGGTGTGTGCATTCTGGCTACTCGGTTAGCGTCTCGCCGTCCTTGATAAATCTGGAACTTTTCCAGATGTCTTTGAAACCTCAGCCTCTGTGAAGATGCCTGTAGTTTCATCTGCTTCTGCTTCTCAGAAGCAAAGCAAACACACAGACAGGAGTTTGGGTGACTGTTTTAATAATGTCAGTGATATTAGGAAATTATGCAAATCCTTTGAGAAAGGGGATTATCTGTTTGCATGAACAGAAAAGGTTCGCATTCATAAAGCTTCACTGATGTCTATAAAAGAATTGCCAAAAGTATTTTATTTTTCAGTAGCTACTTGTTCATGTATCTTTTTTCAGCTTCATTGACATCTGTCAGTTCTCATATTGTAGATGGAAGTCTAGCTAGAAATTGTGTGTTGAATACTTTTCATCATATATTTCCTAAAAAGTATTCTGATATCATTAATAACTCAGAATTTATGTATTAAAATTATTTCATGCCTATATTCTCATATCTATTATAAATTATATATTATATATTCTCATATATAATATATATGTATGAGAATGTATATGTATGAGAATATATATATATTAGATTTAACTGATTTAATCCTGATTTTTTTCTTAAAAATATTTTTTAGTCATATAACTCTTGATACCTCTTTATTTCATTATAAATAATTCAGGGCTTTTCATATGTCAGTCTTAAATTTATTAATGTCCTCTAATATTAAATTTGAGTTTTACATATCGAATAATTTTGAGTATCTATAATGTGCCATGCCAAAAATTAGCATTTAATAAGTTTAAAGCATTTGAATAACTTACGTTGTTTCAGTTTTGATGAACTCTCTGAATCTGTACTGTATTTATGTCTTTTGTTTAGTGCCCCAATGCCGTACCTGATTGGCGTTCACTCCAGCCTCTTAGAGGTGAGTGCCTTGCAGAGTGGATAGAATGCTAAAATTAGCTAAAAGTGACAGTTAAGACAGTTTTGTTCGAAGAAATAACAAGTGAATAGGAAATACCATGTAGCGACTAGCTTTGTATCTGAGATATACGTGTTTCATATATTTGAAATATATTTGAGAAAAATGACTTGCAAAAAAGTAATATTGAAATAATTTCATTTAAATCAGTAAACTGGATTATCATTTTCAATGCCATAGGACCTTTGAAGATAATTATATTTGTTAGAGGCTATAGGGTAAATTTTAGTTACTAAAAACATGAATCTTCCTCAGAGACTCCCCTTCTCAGGAAAGTCAGACTTTTTTTTTAAGTGAAAACTTACATAACCTGACTCATAAAATGCGACATTTTTTCATTTGCAAAACTTCAATTCATAAAATGCAACATTTTTTCAATTGCAAAACTTCAATTTTTCAGTTTATCAAAGTGCTGTTTCAAAAAGTAGATTCAGCAGTCTAATGTTAAACTTAAGAATGATATGTAGCTTCTTAAGTTCAAATATTCAATTTTGTTAGGCAGTGTAAAGTTTAGTAATTTTTTCCCATTGTTACTATACCATTTAAGAATGATTTTTTAAATCACTTACATTATTACCTTAACGACACTCCTTCACTTTGTAATACCTTAAACTTGAAATCAATGAGATTTCCAGAGAATGGGGTTTTTTTTGTGTGTTGTTTTGCACAAAAATTGGTATCTGACACAGTAAATAAGAAACTTGTTACTAAAACGGAAGATATGAGGCAGCTGAATGTACTTCCTGTGCTGGCTTTGCTAGCACTGTACATCAGCAGTGTAACCTGATTTTCCATGAGCAAATACGTGTCACTGAATACAGCACCCACCATCTCTCCTTATTTTGACAAAGAAGAATCTCTTGAGTCAGCCTTCTTAGGACCCCAGCGTGTGAGTAATGTCTCTAGTAGAAGGCCTTGGTTATAAATCTCTACCAGTTCTGTTTGGGATATTTTTCTTCTTTTTGAAAAATGGTAGGACAATATTTTAAATCTGTCTTGTTCTTATTGAAGAATAGACTTTAGTGAACTCTTAGCAGGTTTAATTTGTCTTTAATTTGAAGTGTGGATTGGTAACTTCATGACTCCTTTTATTTACTTAAGTTTTAGAGAACGTGTTTCTTAACAGTCCAGGTATTTGGAGAGTAAGGAGACAGTATATAAAATGAAATGAGTGAATTGCTACTTCATTTGTTGTTATATGGGATATATAAACTGGTATTTTACAAATTTGACTTCATACAAATCTAGCCATGGTTAGAATTTTTTTCTAAAGTCATCAAACTTTGTTTTTCATGTTTGCATCTGTATCTTTCTGTATTTAATGTATTTGATAGGGCTTATAATTTTATAATATATTTTCTTGTAGAAATAAATACTTTAAGTTACTGGCATTGTGCTATTGTTTTTTGCAAAATAGTTTTCAATCAATTTTTAAAACAAATCATTGGGTTTTTATAAACTACTTTAGAAAGCTATATATTTACATGTTTTACTTATGTCAATCACATATTTATTAAATAGAACCTGCTTATTATAAAGAAAGCTAATTTTTTTAAGGAGACAATTTAAGAATTATTTACTTTCGAAAGCATTAGCTTGGAAATAAAGTCCATTAAAGCATATATGAGCTCCTGATTTTGAGTGGGAGTATTTTGGAGCCAGGATTAAATTGGCAAAAATCTCTGTAGTTTTACATGCTGAGTATGTTCAAGACTCTTAGTAGTTTTATTTCACTTATCTGGCTTGGTAGTGAATGAGAAGGTGCAGTTGGAACTCCAGGAATTCTTTTAAGTCAGTTGTTACCATTTAGTAACTTTCTCTTAATCAACTACGAGATGATATACGTCATCTTAGCGCTGTTAATTTTACAATAAGTACCTTCTGGTTAAAAATATATATATCTTCTAGCTATTTATGTTGTTCAATGAGAGACTGAGCTGAGTGAAATTTTAATGTTGTACTTGGTAATTACAACTGATTTATTCTTTAAAAGAAAAATCAAAATATTTTCTTTCTTCTTTCTTGGCCAAGCAAGTTTCAGCATGTATTAGCAGTTCTAGAAAACCGATCAAACACAACATTTGTAAGACATGAAATTAATGTTCCTTGAAATCTTTCTTTCATATACTTTTATGTACCTGTGAGTGAAGGATATTTTTTAAAAAAACCTCTTTTTAAAATACAAATTTACTTTTAAAATAAAGGAAAGCTGTTGTTCTCCCTGAACACTAGACTGAGGATGAACTGAAAGCAGACTTGGCACGGAGCCAAGTGAACACTACAAATTTAGTGAACACTACAAATAGGAGGTTTGTCTCGTGTGCTGTCCTGTACACAGGACTGCAGGTGAGATGTGGCCTGTTTCTCAAGGGCATCTGACTGCTGGCCCTGGGTCATGTCCTGGCATGAGTGTACATAATGTCTATTTGGGTCCACATTGTGTGGAAGGGTTACTTATAGACGGAAATACTAGACACGTTCTTTCAGTGTGTGTTTAATAATATTTCCTTATTTTTAAAGAAAAACAACAACTTCCCCCTTATTTTACACTTTCAAATTTAGGTCACATAACTGTGAGAGATGAAAAAATATGCCGCAGAGTTAGGAGGTGTGCTTTAGGGCTTCCCACACCTATTTAGAATTGAATAAAAAAAAAAATACCTGAAACCTATTTAAGGAGGAAAAAAAAACTGCATAGCATGCTGCTAGCAGCCCAAATTTTCTTTGGAAAATATTTAAATCTTTTGCACACTATTTTTTCCTGTTTTGCTCACTTAAGGCTGTTTTAACCTTAGGGATTATTGAGTGGTTGATTGAAAATGAATACATTTTTATTCTTATAGAGTAGTAATGTAGACAATATCTGATACTCAACTATTATTGGACTTTGTACAACTAAAGGTAATTTGGAAAACGTATACATTTCACGTTAACATCTGATTATTCAGACTTTAATGATAGAATAATAATCTCAAAACATTTGGGGGCATGTAGTCTCTGTCCTGGGTTAGATGTGCAAACTCAGCTCAGCCATGAATCCAGCCTCCCGGGTTCTCTTTATAGTTTCTGGCATGAGGCCAGCTTAAAAATCAAAGAGGAGGTTGAGTTATGACATAGTTTTTTTTTTTCACAGTAATGCACTACTGTAAGTATTCTAATTACACTTTAGCTAGCATATAGATGTTCGCATATATGTGGATTTGAACCTTTGTTATACCTGTGCACATGGAAGGGAAAGAAGGAGGGGATTTGTAAATGAATCTGCAGCAGTGTCAGCAACACCACCAGAGATGAGTCTCTGCTGTTATCTTTTAAGTTCGTAATACCCACAGTGTCCTTTACCAGATCAAGTTTTAAAACCACCACACCCTCATCCCCCAAAATGCACACATTGCATGGACATTATGGCTCTCTTAGCACATAACTATCCCTTACTTAAATGACCATTTCCCTAGCAAATTTAACATTCTGCCCAAGACTTGAGTCTTGAAGTTCTAAATGGATCAGAGCAATTTCAGTCATAGACAACTTAGTACAGAATAATTCATTAAGCCAGTTTAAAATTTAAGGTATTTAATTAATCGTCAAACATGACTTTTGTTCTTCGAGTAGACTTAAAAATATGGCCCTGAAATTAGTTATTGATCTTTTGCTAATTGACACACACAATTACAGAATTCTGAATTCATGGACATATTTTGCTAATAAGCCCATTACTTCTAACTGAAGAATAATAATACTGTGTGCTATCATTTCAACAAGACAGTGGAATCCAATGATTTATGTTAAGTAGGAAAAATAAACTGTAAGTTTTCTTTTTTGTAAGGATTAAAAATTAAGTAGTATATCAATTTGCTATCCTTTGTGGACACATTGAGATACTTGGACAATTTTGACTAAACTGTCAAGTAAATTAGACCAAAGAGAAGATTTGATCAGCTATTGAATCTAATTCTTTATTTTGAAATTCATGTAAGGAGAGTTCCTACTAACACATCCCATATTCGTATCCTGTTATTTTCTTATGCCAATTCCAGTCCTCATCAGTGCATACCTATTACAAGAGAAAATGTTCATTCATTTAAAATGTACTTGATACTATAGGCATAGTTATTGGTTTGCATTGTCCTTATTCAATATAATTTACGCTGAGGTCAATACAGATCTGGGCATAAATTCCTCTATCATGGGATTAATACTCAATTGATCAATTTTAAAGGCTATAAATGTTTTTACGGTTTGACACAACACTGACTATTTAATAAGTCTTTATTATGATGTTTCTTTGGTAGTTAGTTTGAACAAATTCTCTAAGCATTCTTACTACACATCTGTTTGGATGGGTCATAAACAGTCTTCGTTTCTAGAGTCATTTATATTTGTAGGATACTCCTAAAAGTGATGCATTAAGATGATTTTTTTGTATGTTTCCAAGCTCATCATGCTTTCCTAAGGAAAATAAGATTTTTTTTTTTTATCATTGTGCTTTTTAAACAGAGAGTGAGAAATAAGTCATTGGAAGACGTGGTTTTGCTGAATGTCGACACAAACACGTTCGAATCCCCATTTAATGACTTGAGCAACCTCCCGAGTGATGTGGTAAGTCTCAGGTGTGGTTTTTGTACACATTCGCCTTCACCCCCATCCCCAAAGTAACTGAGTCATTTTTGTTACTTAAAAAAAAAAAATCTGAAATTAAAAGATTGGATGTGGTACAACAGGGAGAGAGGACTCAATGGCGATTCTGTTTTTAATACTTTTTACCTTTTGGCAGTTGAGGAGATGTTGAATGGAACGCCATATTCCTTATTGTAAAAGTAGGATCGTAATTAAGAAGCTAGATGCATTCATTAGGCAGCGTTTCTTTAAATGCAGGCCTCTTCATCTCATCTTAATCATTATATTACAAAGTAGGCATTGCTGTCTGCCTAGTGGCATGTCTTGCAAAAGAATGAGAGAGGTTTTGAAGGCAGGGAGAAGAAGGGGGCCAATTATCGGCTTTTGCTTCCCTGCCACCTGCCAGCGCTTTTCCTTTTAATTAATGATCTGGTGGTAGTGGTCAATATAATAAGAAATGCTTGTACAGTTGGGGTCAGAAAATTCTGGCTTTGATCTCTCCCAACTTTCTGAAACATTTATTTGTTTTCTCTAAATTATTTCAGTTTTATTTTAATCTTTTCTCTCCTGCTGAGGGCTGCAAGAATGAAAACCTATACTGTGTGTCATTTGCCTTGGCAGAGCAAAGACTGCTTACTTAGAATTCTATTTGTAAATTAAACTGAAAACCCAGTTTGTCATAAAAGACATCGGATCCTTTTGAAATGACGAAAACTGTCTTTTGTCTGTAAAGGCTGATAAATTAAGTGCCAGTTCCCTTCTGGTCTTTGATCTTGCAGAGGAGAGAGAGAGAGAGAGAGAGAGAGAGTAGCTTATAATGGCATATTCTGTATTTCATGTTAAATAGTCTCCAAAAAAATGCAGTTATTTTGCCCTGTTCTTCTTTACAATTAAAAAAATAAATGCATGATAGTGTTATTTCTGTATACACATTTTATTGTTGTTCATAAATATCCTAATAATAGAGTTCTAAGCTTATAATAATTTTTTTAAAAACCAAAGCATTCATTTTTTCTTCTTTCCTCGTTCTTTCTTCTTAAGATTTGGGAATTAACAATATTTTTCTGTAAATTGCAAATACTTTAAAAGCCATTTTGAAGGAACTTAAAGAAGTACATTTTAAAGCTCCAAATTAAAAAATTTTTGAATCCTAGCCTTGATTGTTCTTATGGCTAAGATAGAAAAACATGATTTAAAAGTCAAAATCTTATTTATTCCCCAAATAACTTAAAAGTTCTTACTGACTCAAAACACATTAAAATGAAATACCCTATCTGACTCTAGCAAAATTCATTGTGCTTATGAACAAATCCAAACTTAGGCCAGTGAACAATTACATTATCTTTTTTACTTATTGTGGCCACATCAACTTAGTGTAAAAAAATTGTCAGAAACTCCTAGAAATGATTAGCTATTCATTTAGAAATTTGTGAAACTTTTCTTCACTGAAAAGAGAAATAACTATGAAAATAGAATCCCAATTTTTAAAAATGTCTTCCTGATGCATATTATGGGTGTATTTGCCTTAAGGAGAAGAGATAGTTCTTCAAAAGTAAAAGGAAAGAAGAAGAAAAGAAAAGGAGAGAGAAAGGCATTCGGCTTTTGTGTATGTGATATGGATATTTTGGGAGACAGACTTTGTGAGATGGTTCCTTGAAAACCCTTAAAATTGTATGTTTTCAAGATTTTTTTTAAAAATTAAGATAGAGGTTTTTTTTTTCTGTAGAATTAGTTTGATAATAAAGATATTTATTTAAATAGTTTGGGAAGTTAAACAACATTCATAAAATGTTCCAATTTTTATGTGTACAGTGACAGAAGAGACCATGGTGTCATTTACTTGTAAACAATATTTATATACACACATACATATATATGTGAATATATATATATATATATATATGTCAAAAGAAGCACAGCAAGATGTGAATTATACATAGATCCTTAAGTTGAAGGCCAGGATTTAGACACAAATTTCAATGCTGTAGAAATCAAAACAACACTGGAGCTAGAGCTCAGTTGCTTTGTTCAAAGGATGAGATAATTTACAAGGTATTAGAGGTGATTGTGTAACCTATCTCTAATAAATGGAGCTTTTTTCATCAGTTTTCCAAAGCTGTCTCCTATCGCTCTGGAAGAAATGTGGATAAAGTGTATGATTGCGTAGTTTTTAAATGTCAGATGTTTTAAGGGAGATGTGTTAGAATCATGCATGTGGTTTGCATTAATAAAGTATACGTGAAGCCTGAAAAATATGACTATTGGTATTGTTTGATTGTTTAATAAGTTAACTGAGGTTTAAATGGAGGGCCTTTTAAATCAAGCACCGGAGCATTTCAATTCCGCTTGCAGGCAGGAGACTTTCTCCGCATGTGTACTTTATTACTGTGTCAGCCTGGCCAGTGGTCCAGGCTGCCGCGGGGTCAGTGGTCACAGTTGTCCCGAGTTACCGGTTCTTTCTTCCTGGGAACCCTCTGCAGGGTTGCATGCTGTAATCTTCTTAATGGCTCCATTCCAATATTCACACATAATACTTTAGATTTATTGACTGTTAGAAATACTACCATGCCAGTAGCAGTTCCGCTACTCTTAAGGTATTTAAAATTGGAAAAATAAATCAGGACAAAGCTTTCAGAAAATCCTTTGTTTTCCTTAAGGGAGGGGCAAAAACTCTCTTCCTGTCTTCTGACAAGAACACTTGTGTTTCGATTCCATCATTTCACTCAAGACTTGTGTCATTAAAATAAGTCTCAAGCTTTGCTACTGAGAATTTTTATATGATGACAAAGAATAACTTTGGAAGGCAGTAGATGCATTTGAATACATATTTGTAAATTTTGTCTGTAACTACATTATGTTGTATTTTTAGTGACAATGCCACGTAAAGGTCTTAAGACATGATGTAGTTTGAGTATTTTAAATACAAAAATAAATTTCAGGGCTCAATAACTATCAATCAAAGTTAGTGGTATTGTAGTGTGTTTATGAGGGTGGGGTAAGCGAACCGATTGAACCAAATATAGCATTTGAAATCTCAAATGAGTTCATTTTAATGCACTATTGAAACTTTCCATCCCAAGTATATACACACATTTAGTTTGAACTATATAATAAATTGCAATACCATTTTCCTAAGCTCATTTTAAGTCTTAACTGCTCCTTTCAGTTTTTATCATTAACATTTTTTTAAGAAGTCCTTTGGGAATTGTTAATATTTCAAAAATAAATAGGATGAGACTGATTTACTGGAAAATTAAGCTATTAATAATTAAAAGTCGAATAAGATTTAGGAAGGTCATTCTCCTAAGAATATTAAGGTAAATAGTGATAAACTAACTCCTATATTCAGAAGCAGGTTACAAATGACACCTGAAAGGTGAATTTGACCCACATTGCTTAATGGACTTTAAGCAATTCTAACTCAAGTAGTGTTGAACAAATAACACAGTCTAAAGTAGACAGAATGGGTTCTCCCTGTATGAGGTGTGGATGTGTAAGGGTTGAATGTTGACTGTTCATGATGTAAAGCTTTAGTGTGTCAGAATGATCCTCCCATCTCCGACCCAGATCCTAGACAATGTAACGAGTTAACTTCTTTAAAATTTAATACAGAATCTTATTCAGCATTCTGGTCTTGTGAAACGATCTGTTTGATGTAAATTAAGATTTTCAGCACCGTTTTTACATTTTTATTTTTATCTTATAATGCATTTCATTATGTATAAGTAAATAATTAATTTCTGTTTCTTAATGTGAGTGCATATATTCAGAAGGTGTTACAAATTCACCGTCTGTGACGGGATGGTGGTGTTTGGTGTAAAGAATTTTTAATCATTAAGCATTAGAAAGATGCTATTATCAAGTGGTCATATCTAATACATCTTACATACTATAGTGTAGTTTTGAAATACTAAATAGAAGAAGTGCAGACTGTTTTAGTGTGAGGAGAAAAAAAAAGCTACACGTTATTCTGAATCACTTGAAGTGATTAAGAAAACACTCCTAAAATTTTGACTTTCAATAAGATTTTTGGCTATCTACGTTTAAGCAAGTTTATTGACTTGGAAATAAACTTGAAAAAGAATGGGTCATTTCACTACGTTTAAAGGCCAACTTTCAATACAATATTAGAGTATATAAACCCTTATGACCATGCCAATTGTCAATAAGTACATTTCATTCATTGACTATTTCCTCTAATTTAACACGAAGGTTTAACATGTTAAATGTCATAATAAATGTTATAAAGGAAGGAAAAGCTCCCAAGAGTATTTTTTTTTTATTAGTTCCAGATTGGACACAGCTCGAGCTCAATCCTTATCATATTTAATAGTAAGTGAAGTCCTTAACAGATTTCGGGGTGGGGGGTGGTCACGTTGGGAAGAGAATACAGTTTTACCTAGCGCGGGGCATAGTTTGGAGATTGTGTTATTATTTAGCTCACAGAGTTGCCTGGAGGAGATGCCAGTGGCCTTCACTTGGCCCCTGTTGAGATGCAGTTATGGACCCAGCCCCCAGGTGTCAGGACTGGGGTCTGGCTGCGCAGGCCCGGCCCTGGTGCAGTGCTGTGTAAACAGTAGGTGCCCAGTAAATGACGTTCCACTGCTTTTCTCTCCTGTGATAGAAGTTTGCTTTTAAAGTCCCCCTTTGTAGTAACCTTTTAGAATATTCTGTAAGCATATTTTCATAATAATGCAAGGAAAAGCACTGGAAGCACATTTAAAGTAAACTTCTTTTTTTTTAAACTATGAATACGATGTCTCTTTCCTGCTTGTGTCTGGAGAAGCAGTGTGGTGTTGAGAAGCTGTCTTCTGCACACTGATAAGAGTCTGTGTGACCTCGCCAGTATTTGACGGGGTTATTTGCAAAGGTGCGTTTTGATTTCTAGGTAAAATATAGATGTGATTATTTCCCTGCTGTTTTCTTGGTACTTCAAATAAAGAATTTAAACCAAACCCCAAACCAAACAAAATCCAAACCAT